TTGTCAATCTATGCTAATGCCTATTTCGGAAATTTGATTAGCTCTCAATTATTATTTTTCATTATTATAGTTAGATTATAATTATGTTTATCAAAGCATATTCCTCATCTCCATAGCAGTGTTCAGGCTCTCTCTCCCTCATCATCAATCCGATATGTGGCAATTGATAACTATACATCGTGGTGACATTTTTATGATAACTTTTGATATGGTTACATATCTATGTTGATAACTATACTTCGTGGTAACATTGTTATGATGACTTTTGATATGGTTCCATATTTATACTTTTTGGTATGATAGTGTGACTTGCATTCCAATTCATTGTTGGAAGCTAACAATAACTTACAATCTGAATATTTGGTAATTGTTGGAAGTTAATGATAACTTACAATCTAATTATTTGGAAAAAGTTTATATAAGGATGCTACCTTATAATGTAGAACTACGGATGCCCCTCAAAAATCTATCGGAAAAGGTAGTTTTAATGTTGAAAAACTCTTTGATTGATCATCTCGACATCAAGATGTATGATTATGAAAAATAAAAAGATTTTAAGTCTAAGAAATATTGCATTTTACAACATATTATGTACACCGTCCATTTTCAAGATTTTCATATGTTTATAGATCTACTTGATTTTAACCATTTTTTAAATTACTTCTCATTTAAAATTTTATAATTATATATAAAAATATATTTTGAGATAATCCTAATAACATTTTACATCAAAATTATATACCATGATAAAATTTGAAGGGCACCGTACCTCGACACCTACAGAGGCGTCCGTATGCCAACAACACCCCTAATTATTTGGGAAGTTGCACTACAAAGGTTATGACTAAAAAATCTAATTCAAAATATAAATTTCAACCTATAATCAACCCAAAAGGATAAAATTCCATCACTTGGGAATCCCACCAGATTATCAAATAGGGCTCCTAGCTTTCAAGCTATCAATTTTGACTTTGATCCCAATTTTTAAAAAAACTAGCAACTAGAATTTTCCTAGGAAACTTCAAAAAAAAGTTAATAAATACAACCTATGTGCTCCCCTTTAAAAAATCGAAGGTGTTTTCGGCTCTAATAACCGTTAATAGTATATTTTCTTGAAAGTTAGAAAGGTGAAAATCACCCTTGTACTATAAATAAGGGTGCGGTTTGTATAGAGCCGATGCTCTAAAGAATCAAAATAGAGCGCTCCTTCAAATAGTTTCGAGAAATGTGGTTTAAATACTAGAACTCCTTGTGATAGCCTTAAAAAATATTTTCATCTCTAATTATAAATTTTAAAGCTTAAAAAATAGTGTAGATCGAGCAAATCTATAAAAACTTTTTCCTAATTTGATTGTTTAGAGCCTCGATTCCTTATAAAATTTTTCCTACCTACAAACGTGTTTAGCAAAATTCTATGAAATAGTGGACATTTTAATTACTTAAAATCTATCGGAATATCCTAATGCATTTATTGTTAGCTGTTAGCGAAAGTTTTACCATATGAAAACCAAATACAAAAGCAAGGAAGAAGTATAATTTGGGAACTGAAAAGGCTCACAGAAAAAAAAAAGGTATTTAATAATGGAAAAAGTTTATATAAGGTTGCAACCTTTAAAATGTAGAATTACAGATGTACCTAAAAAATCCATCAAATTTTTTTTTTTTAATATTGAAAAATCTCTAATTATTCATCTCGACAACGAGGTGTATGAATATGAAAAAAAAAAAACAGATTTTGAGTTTTAAAAATAGTACATCTTGCAACACATTTTCTAGACCCTCCATTTTCAAGATTTTCATATATTTATAGATTTACTTGATTTTAACTAATTTTTGGAGTTTAAAATTTTACTATTAGATATGAAAATAGATTTTAAGATAATTTTAAGAGTTTTTTACACCAAAATTACATGAAAAAATTTGGAGGTGCGCTTTAATTGGATTGTTTGAGGTTGCAACCAACCTTATAGAAACCACAACCAATTATGTCTAATAAAAAAAATTTTAAACTAAAAAACTGGCTAAAATAAAGTTGATTTATAAATACAAGAAAATCTTTAAAATAGACGGTTTAGATAATGTGTTGCAAAATGCATTATTTCTAGAATTTTTTATCTGCATCTTTAATTCTACATTTTAAGGTTGCAACCTTATATAAACTTTTTTTTTTAATAATTTGAAAATTCAAATACAAAATATTAACCTGTTACCAAAAAAATATTCCAAGTCGTGCGAAGCAACGGAATGGAGTAAACGGTAAGAAATTTTTCAAAAAAAAAGAAAAAGAAAAGGAGGGAAATATTATCGCAGGAAACTATATTTTTACAAATATTGAAAGAACGGACCCGATTGGCCGGCTCCAAATTGAAACCAGCGAAGTGGTCGCCGTGGTCTGGTCCAGCATAGTGAACTCAATGGTCCATAGTTTCGTATTATGCCCTTTATTTTTATTGAAATTACTCCTATTTATCATATTTTATTTGTTATTTAAATCAGATAGGGGCATTTTTTGTCAAATTTAATTACAGAGAATACAGGTTTTAGAAAATGAAATTCAAGAGAGAGAGCTCACTTGGGGAATTTTTGCTCCCTCTCTCTACCAAAACTCTACATTCTAGAGATTTTCTCAAGTGATTATCTATGTCAAATCCATCCATCAATCCGCCCTTCTCTAAGGCCCAAGTAAGTAAATCCAACCACCTTTTTTGATTGTTTGATTTATCGTTGGAGAAAAGGAAAAGTCTAAATCTTTTGTGGGTAAGAAATCTTATAATGAAAATCTTTTGATTATTGATCATTCAATCTCAATCCAATATCTACCCTATGGAGGTGTTTTTTTATAGATTTTTTTACGTGAATATTTTGTTTTTTTTAGAGCAATGATCCACCGCAACGGTTGTATCATAGTATAATGCAACGACACTTCTAAAAAATCATGTTTGTAGTTTTTGTATGACCCCAAATTTTGCACATACACTATCTTCATCTCAATAATCAATCCCTCCAAAAGAAAATTTCAATTTGAACCCTATATATGATCAAAATGAGTCCCCTCTAAAAACTAATCTAGACCATTCATTTTGTGAATTTCAAGATCTTAGTCTTTATAAACTCAAAATCATTTTTTCTTTTTTAACATTGTTCACTAATGATAATAAAGCTATCCAAAAACATTGGAAATGAAAAAAATCCTTCCAAGGCCTAGATCTATGGATCTTACCAAAATGAATGGTCTATTAATTGGATTAAAAGAATATTTTCTAGGTTGTGTTTTCAACTTTTCTTTTTTTGTGATTGTTCACTAGAATGAAAAGAGTGTATATTTCAAAATTTGGATCAAATAAATGATCCTAAGATGGTTTTTTAAGATTATTGCATCATATTACTATATAACGGTTGCATGAAATCATTATATATATATATATATATATATTTATTTATTTATTTTTTGTTGATTTTTATATGCATTTTTTTGTGGGTTTTTACATGTTTTTTTTAATATGGTCTCTCTCTTTCTGTAAAAAAAAAAAAAAAAGTCATTGCCTGTTCCTCTAGGCAAGATTTTCATGTTTTTTACTCTCTTTTTTTTTTTCAGTTTTGAGTGATGGAATGAACTTGAAGGTTATATTAATAGGGATATTTTGTTTTAGGGATAATTGGATAATGAATACTTTCTTTCGTAATTTCTTAACTATGACTTTGTTCAATTTTTTCAAAATCATAAGAAGCCCAAAACTAACAAAATGTATTAAAAGATATTATGAATCAAAAATTTTTATTTTTAGATTTTTTTCTGATTTTCCCATATTTTTCTATGCTTTACCCTTTTCCCTTATTTTTCCAATTTTTTTAACTAGTTTTAATAAACTTGTCCTATATGATGGGTAAACCGTCTCAGTTTGACTAGTCCAACTAGATCAAAAATTCATTGATCTTGAAAACATCTACTCTTACATAATGTCTATACTCTGCGGTTTATATAAAACAATAAATACTCATTTCCACCATATGTCACATAAGATGAACGGTAGAGATCCACCATCCATCCTTAAGTGATAGACAGCATATCCGGGAGCACATACTAGCATTCTATCAAGTTTCATGTATGGTAACTCTCCCGTCATTGAAGTAACATAGTTTTGAATTTTCAAGTTCATTTCTTTTGAATTTCCAAGATTTAATTTAAAGTTTTAACGACGTTTATTTTATGATATAGCAGTTTTTATAGAGCCTAAGCTCTAAACAATCAAATTAGAGCCTACCTTTAAATAGTATCGGGAAAATGTGGTTTCAATATTGAAAACTTTGTGGTAGCATTAAAATATATTTTTATATTTATTTATAAAGTATAAAGCTTAAAAAATAGTGTAGATCGACATATCTATAAAAACTTGAAAATCTTGAAAATTAATGGTCTACAAATGCGTTACATAATACCCTATTTCCAAAACTTGCAATCCATTTTTTTCTCATGATTATGCATCTTGATGTCGAGATGATCAAGCCCTATATAAACTTTTCCCTTTGTGTTTAATCCATTATTTTGAATCTGTGTTTTGCTTTTTCATTCAAATTAAAATTTCTTGAAATTCGAAATTTTAAGTCAAAGTAAAAAAAATTTAAAATTCAAACGACTTTTCAACACAATTTCTTGGACCAATGAAATAAAGCCCGTTCCGTCCCGGTAGTTCCCACTCTTTCCAGCCGGTCAAGGTTTCAACGCCAAGGGTTTTAACCGTTTTGACCTCCATCCTATAGATGATGTTTGATTGTAATAAGTGTGTCCGCGGACTCACCAAAATCTTAGTCTCCAAAAAAATATATCCACCGACCGTTCCAGAAGAATCCTGGAACCACCCGCAAAGACCCGACCCCGCCCTCCAAGCATCCTGACCGTCCAATCGTCCAACGGCTAGATTTTGGAAACATCAACGGTGGAAATCTCAACGGGATTACGTGTCCTTTTTGGTTCGTTCAGTTAAAAAGGCAGGGCGGGAAACGAAAATGAGAACCCCACCGACTTGAGAGTTTACGGCAAAAGAAAATGCAGAGAGCCAGCCAAGCCTTAATTGTAAACGCGTAGCTACTTGTTTTTTAAGCTCTCCACTTTAATTTTGGAGTTATAGTTTTCTCAGCCATTTTTGTTTGGCAAAGAGGGGTTCTTCCTTCGAGTTCGAATTTGATTGGCAGGTATGTGTTTTGAAATGTTTTTTTATGTAAATCTTTTAGGGTTTTGTGGTTTCAGCTTTTATATGTATGTGGTTTTAAGTTTGAATTTGAGTTGCAGGTATGTGTTTTGAAATGTTTTTTTGTTAGGCAAATATTTTAGGGTTTTGTGGTTTCAGCTTTCATATATGCTGTGGTTTTGTTGTAACTTGTGTTGTGTTTTTGTTGTAATTTGTGTTGGGCTCGGTGCTTGGTCTATAGTGTTTTCCTTTTCCAGTTTTGGTGACTGCTGATTTTTGAATTCTCTAATTTTAAGAACTATTGTCATATTGTCAGTTGAATTCTCTAATTTTAAGAACTATTGTCTGCTGCAAGTTTAAGAACTATTGGAATGAACTATTGTCTGCCATAAATTTAAGAACTATTGGAATCTCGGGGTTGACATGTAGATGATAAGCAATACATATAATTTTTTTTCAGCTAGGGTTTTAATTCTTCAGAATTAGGTGAGACTATTGGAATCTCGGGGTTGACATGTAGATGATAAGCAATATATATACTTTTTTCAGCTAAGGTTTTGATTCTTCAGAATTGGTTGATTAGGAGACGTTGTGAATGATGAGAGGATTTAGTTTCTTTGAGAAAAAATTAGTCTTGGGTGGTACTGATTCATACAGGTCCTTGTATTTTTTTTCTTTTTCTGTGACAGGTTTGTTGGTGCTGCTATTGTTGGATTCTATTGAAATATTGCATAGAATCATTCGAGTTTTTACTTGCTTCACATGTACATGGTTTGTTGGTATTGCTATTGTTGGATTCTATTGAAATATTGCATAGAATCATTGGAGTTTTAGTTGCTTCACATGTACATGAATGCAACTCATAGTTAGCAAATTGCCGTATTAAATGTGATTTTTTAAAGAAATTGGAGTTTTCTTAAAACCGTTTAATTTGAATTATTCAAAAGAGCATAAAAAAATAGCGTTTTTTTCATGAAGAAGTTTAAAACGCGATTTTTTGATATTTACCATAAATCATTCCAAAAAAATGTAGTATTAATAACAATGTTTTTTTTTTTGGAAAGTTCATTTATTTTTTTCCTGTTTTGTAAAAGTTCAATTTTTATACCTTCTAAAAAAGTTCATTTATCTTTTTCCTGATCTTATTTTTTATTTTTTATCCTAAATCGGGCTCATTGCATACGGCTGCTGATTTATTGTAGAAAATCACTGAATGCTCACAGAGATTTATAGGCTTTATTGCATTGGAGCTTTATATTGTGTTGAACACTAGTTTATTTTTATTTTCTGAATTAAATCTCATTTTATTTATGATTTATTTACTAGGTATTAATCCCTGTTTATAATGCTCTATATAATGCTCCAATACATACAGAGAGAAACAGAACCACTCATAGAGAGAAATTAGGGGAAAATAGACTAGGAAATTTATTTACTAGTTATTAATCACTGTTTATAATACTTGATAGGAAGCTCCAATACACACAGCGAGAGAGAAAGATAACCACTGATAGAGAATCATCTCAAAGAAATTAGGGGAAAATACATTAGGGAAAAATAGAGATAGATACGATTATAAAAAATCCCCAAATTTAACATCTTAAAAAAATTAAGGAAAAATAGATTAGGGAAAAAAGCGAACCATATGATAGAGAGAATTTTCAAAACACAGATTCAACATTAACTATGAAAAATCCTGAAATTTTATATCGCTCAAAAATCCCCAAACTTAACATAGCTCAAAGAATATTGTGGCAAAATAATTTAGGGAAAAAATTAGGGATTTTCCCTAAACCTGATTCAACAATCTGTCAGCTTCAAAAAAGACACCATCTCAGTTCTATGCAGTGCACCAATCCGTCAGCTTTGAAAAGGACAACACCATCTCAGTTCTACCTAGAGCACCCTTCAGATTTTCTTCACAAACAGCTTCACCATCTCCCTCAAAATACAAACACCATATGAAAAACCTCTGCATGTGCCTGCTCTTCAGTGCTCCTCTTTGATAGATCCGTGGTCACTTCCCCCCCCTCGCCCCTCCCCCCTCCCCCCTCTCTCTTTCTCTGTTTTTTTCTCTGCAACCACGTCTCACTTCTCTTTCCCCGCTCCATTTTTTCTATTAAAAACAATAGCTTTTTGGGCAAGTATAGAAAGATACTTAGCTTTTGGGTAAGTACAACATGCGTCATGAGTAAATAGGTAAGTACCTCAAAGGAACACTCACAACCTTTGGATTTGGAATTCATCAACATGACCAAATAGTTAGTATGGTGCACATGCACAAGCTTTGAATAACATAACTAAATGGTTAGTATGGCACAAGCTTTGAATTTCGGATTCAAATTAACATGACTAAATAGTTAGTATGAGGCATAGTTAGGATAGTTAGTATGGTGCATGGTTAGCATAGTTAACCTATCTGTTTTTTTCACTCCGATTTTTTGAGTCCGATATATTTGCGATATCTTTGCATAAAGTGTTTTTGCCGATCCGTATTCATACCCAATTTTTTCATCCGACTTTTTAAAATAAAAATGATTTATTTCCGATTTTATAGTGAGCCGATATATTGATAGTCCCCGACTTGCTAACTATGATGCAGCTTCAATTTAGTTGAGGGACCCATGAAGAGTTTTTCTAATCACATATATGTCTTGTTCAAAGCAGCAAAAAACGTATGAAATGAGAAGTGACCACCAAAAAATTTATGAAATGAGGAGTGATACTTTCATTTCTGGGTGGTGTTTTACATATTTATTCCTTTACTGGATTAGTTTCATTTGTTTTGCTTTGAAGGTTTTTAAATATGCTTTCAATGATGGTTTTTTATCTCAGCTGAGATTACTTGTGTTTGTATGAGTGTGAGTGTTTGGAAGTTTGTTGTTTGCTTTATATTATGTTGTTGCTTAAAGTTCAACATATGTTTCTTTTCATATATGGTATATGTAGTTTTATTTTATTGTACTTCGCAAAATTTATTGGTGTTTTTGTTTTCAGGATCTTTTCACAATACTACCTTATGAATTTTAGAAGCTTTGGGAATGTAGTAATATAATTAGTTTGGGAATTTTCAATTTTTCCTTATTCAAACTTTATGATTGTGGAAAGTTTCTCTTATAGAAATTTAATCTATTCTATTTCGTAGAAAATCTTATAATATGGCTTTGTTTTTAATTGTAGGAACATGGCATTGAATAAAGATTATGGAAGAAATGAGTTGATAGTTGATGTGTTATCTGATGAGATTGAAAATTTTGGGTTGCGTGGAGCCAAAAGTGATTTAGTAGAAGACATAGTGAGGATAAATATATCCAATACTACACGCACTATTGGAAGAAAGAGGATTGCTGTTTTGAATGACATACAAATGATGGGTATGGACAATTATTTAGAGACGAAACAGCTTAAGCGCCATAATTCAAATGTTGATGTTGTATTTGAAGATGGATGTATTGGTGCCTTATATGAAGATGAGTCAGAGACACATCAGATCGATGAACTTCCATTCGATATTTTGGTATGTTTTCGATATTTTGGGATGTTTTTTTGGTGTTTGAGTTATTTGCTTGCTTGAGTAAATTGAATTGATTTATGTTAGTGATTTGTTATATTGTAGGTTAAAATACTTTGTAGAGTTGAACACAGTGATTTGAAGGCACTTTCAGCTGTATCTAAATTATTTAGAGAAGCGGTAAGTTATATTTATTATTTGATTTTAAAATTTTGCTAATTTTGTTGTGCATGAATTAAATATTTTCATTTTTTTTAGGTCAAACTTGCAAGGAAGGTACATTTTAATTATTCTACCCCAAATCCAAAAATTATTGGTGTCAAAAATTTCGAGTTAGACGTGGTTGAAGACTCAAATCATGAAAGGTAATCTATATTTATGGGTTGATAGAATTTAGTTCATTTTAGATTTAAGTTTTGTTAATTTAATTTGAGATGATGGGATTGTAAATATTTTTTTATTTTGTATAATTTACAGGATCTCGACCCCGAATGCCCCTAAGCAAGATAGGTTCAAACTTCGACTTGAGAATATGGAAGCCTCAAAATATCCCTTGCAGCGAGCATTATTCTCAGAAATGGAGTATTATGCTTAATATTTAATGGTTTGTAGATATATTTGTGAATATAATGCATTTTTGTAATTTATTGATTCTTCCAAGTTATCACAACCAGTGATGCATGTATGTAAATGTACTATTGGTTATTTCTTCAATTCTTGCATTGAAGACGATTGTAATAGATTCCTATGGATGTAAGGAGGCTAATAAGTTTGAGGGAAGGCTGTCTCGCTCTTTTTGTTGTTGACAGCCTCTTTTTATTGTAATATGTTAAATGTATCTGTATTATTTCACTCTTTTTGTTGTTGACAGCCTCTTTTTGTTGTAATATGTTAAATATGTGTTATTGAGATAGTTGTCTATAATTTTGTCTTGGTTCTCTTTCTCTCTCAAATGCTTGTTACAATCCTTAGTGTCCTGTGATATTTCTTATATTAGAGTTATTTGATCCTTGATGGTTCCTTGGATATTTGAGGCTTGAACCATGTGTTGAGTGGTCTTTTTGTTGGATGGAGTTGCAAATTTGAATTGTTTTACCATGATTTTGTTCCCTGTCATTGGTTGAATCTATTTTGAGATGTTTTTATAGGTTGACTTATGATGGTTCTTCTATCTTTTTTTTTTGTCCTTTTGTTCTCCACCATAGTTGGGGGTAAATGGGCTGGGATTGCAATGGTGACCGATCATAGTTGGTTGTTTTCAAAGACGGTAAATGTGCTGGGATTGCAATGGTGATTGAACATAACTGGTTGGGGGTAAATGGGTTGGGATCGCAATCGTGACTGAACATAACTGGTTGTTTTCAGAGAGTGGATGGGCTATCAAATTATTGGATTGGGTTTGAGAGGGACAAAGGGTTATAATTATTTGCAATATGGAGGAAAGCAAGCTTCTGTTGTAGTTTAGGGATCCTTGTCTAATTAATTGTTGCTTTGTTTCTTCTTTTATTGTTATATATCAGAGGGACAATGGAGTTCTTGGTTAAACTGCACTCTCTTGTGTGCATGTTTGCTTTTTATGGTATGTATGTTGTAATTAGAGTTGCTCTCTCTCTCCCACACCCACACCCCGTATATATATTCTGTCCTTCAGAGCTTATTGTGATATGTGAGCTGCACTTGCTTTAGAAGGTTAGTTTTAAGAGAGATGAAGCTGCCTTCTTTTTGTTGCAATTTTGGAATATAGGGTAGCGAGTTTGGGGATCTTAAAGGGATCAGAAATTTGGGAGGTTTTTGTGTGTGTGCGCACGTGCACGAGAGGGAGAGGGAGAGAACTCTGAGGTTCTGTACCCTATAGAATTCCATCGTGTTTTTTGTTTTAGGTTTATGATGCATCTGCTCAAATTCTCCAGGTCCAGTTTTTTCTATGCATAACGGTACCTGTCATTCTTGTCCTATTCACCCAGAAAAAAAGTATATTTTGAATATATATGCATAGAAGTATATTTTGAATATCTATGCATAGCGACATACATTATTGTGTGATCTCTTTGTTTCTCTTGGTAAGTTATTTATATGACCAATAGAAGTTCGAAATCTTTTAGCCCCTCGCTTTCTCTGTCATTTATTATTATAACATGCACACTTTATCTCTTGGCATCCCACAAAAGTGACTATAGACATTGTAATTGTTCATCTTTCGTTTTTTTTTTTAAAAAGAAATTATTTGTTTTGGAGGTTCTTTGTGTTGGTTGAGCTCTAATCATGATTCTGTTCTTTTTATTCTGCTTTTGATAAATCAGTTGCACTTTGTTTTTAAAATTGAATTGATCATGCCGGTTTCAAGCCCAGATAAGGGATATTGTGTTAGGTAGGGCAATCGATATGAAACTTTGCCATATCTTTTCATAAATCTTAAATCTATGATGGTTGAGCAAGATTCATGTAGTTGACTTCAAATAGTTGGGATAAGACTCTGATGATGATGATGACGACATTAGTTCAGAAGGCCAATGTAATAGGTCTTATTAGTAATTTATTTCAAGGTGTTTCACTTAATAAAATTTCGGATCTTGTAAATATTCCTAGTTTGGATGTATTTTTTGCAACTTGTCGAGGAGCCTAGTCTATAAGTGGACCGTTACATGGCTTTTATTAAGCCCTAGGGCTAGTTTGGATGTTTGATAAAAAATTCACATCGTAGAAATTCATATGTTTATTCAGTCTGGAATTGGAAATCCTATCTGTTTTGGTGGAATATTTGATGCCCATGAAAATACTAGAAGCGGGTTTCATCTGCTAGATTTGGATGTTCGGCTACTTGCGATAAATCGTGTGATAATATATTTTTCTTTGGACTTTTCTCATTAATAATTTACCTCAATTATTTCTTCATGGATTTGTAATAAGAGGAAGGAGAATGAAACAAGGGGAAGGTAAATAATGGGTTCTTATAGTACTGATTTAATAAAGCTAGATGTTCCCCACTTGTGACAATATCTACATAATCTTGTGATTTTGTTATCGTGATCATCATCTTCATCATCATTATAGCCTTTCTCAACCATTTGGGGTCGGTTATACAATGAAATAATTTCATCCTGAGTTTGAGATAAGCTGGCATTGTCAAGATTTCGAGCTTGAGCTAAACCCATGAGCCATGAATTTGTAGATTGTGTTGCCTTTTGCTTGATATGATACTGTATCCTTTCATCTTTTTGAGCAGGTGATTGCTTCTTTTCGGAGACTGGCATCTACCAATGGCTCCATATTCCCTCCATGGTTGGAAACTCTGAGTGTTTAACTCACCACATTCCTAGTTGTCAAGAAACTTCAGGATATAAAAGAAAAATCAGAACTTCAGGGAATTCTACAGTTATTATTTACTTTCAATAAAGGAATTGTAATCGGTGATGAGTATTGTCTTAATCACCATAGACCAAATGTTCTTTCACCCAATTGCCATCACTCGTTACCCAAGTGTCCAAACAATAAAAAAATCTTATTATTCATAAATTTTGAGATATAACTAATGAGATGTCACCCTAGAAATAAAAAAGTGGGCTATTCTCCCGTCTTTATTTACTCGCTGCGAAGCAATGAAAAATTAAGAGAGATGAATTTAGCAATTTTACTGAAAATCAACATTCTTTTACTAGCATTTTCACCATAACATTAGCACCGATAGACCAACTTCGAGAACAAAGAAAATAAAAATTCAAGAATTATATGAGCATAGCCTCTTTTCATGCAAGAAATCTGTTATTTCGTTGCAGTTCATAACATCTCCTTGTTCCAATCTCTTCCATCTCTAAGGAGTTGCTGAGGGTGCAAGCCACCCTTGAGCTTTTCAATTAATTATAGTTGTTGATTTGAGACGAAGCTTTGATTTGGAACTCTGCAAGAGCCCTTGTATGGAGTCATGTGGGTTTTGCACTTCGAATAGTCAATATGCAAAAGAGATGGCTCTAAAGTCAGGGATTTGAAAGGATTGGTAGGAGATGCAGGCATCAACATTCATAGAATTATGAATCAGCATTGTACGAAACTCCCATTAATGATTATAAAGGGGAAAAGAGGAGGTAGAAAAAATGGAGGCTGTCTTTTACTCCGCTGGCTTCGAGGTTGGGGAGAAGACGCTCGCAGGTGTCAAGAGAGGCCAGGAGTTGGATGTTAAAAAGGGTGAGGATGTGGGGGGAGGTAAGGTCCTAGAAGTTGCAGTTCTTTTTAGTCTCTCAGGTGGTCTTTCATCTAAGGGACATTTTCCTATTCTTGGTTTCTTCTCCCCTCCTCCTTCTGATATTTTCTGATTGAGTGATTGGGCGAGACGATGTTGGAGGTTGTCTTATGCCCCTAAGGTTAAGATCTTGGGAGAAAATAGGATTGTCTTCTTGTTGCTTCATAGGAAGACACTCAAGTTGCTCTTTCTAACCAGTTTGTTAGGATTAGGGGGAAGCTTCTCTCTCTTGACATGTGGAAACCCTCTTTCCATTCCTCTTATTTGAGTAAGGAGAGTGTTTGGATTAGAGTTCAGGGTGTGCCTTTGCATGCGTGGTCGATGGATACTTTTCGTAGATTGGCTGAATGTTGTGGTGAGTTTTGCGATATCAATAGAGACTCAGTCCACGGGGTACCTTTATCCTCTGTTTGTATTCGGATTTGGAAATGGCGTGGCGATGCAGTTCCGAGCTCTGTGAGACTAGTGGTTGGTAAGGAGGCATTCTCTATTGCTATCTCAGTAGAAGAGAGGAGGGGGATTGTCTTACAGCCTGCTACTCAAGCTCCCTCTGAGCACGGGGATTGGAGGAAGGTTACTCGGCGGGTACCGGGGGGACATGCTCGTTTGGAGAATTTCATTGGATTAGGTCCTTAACGGCGTCAGTGCTGAAAGTCCAGAAAAAAATGGAATCATGCGCAAAATTTGAAAATTGTCGAGCGTTGGATTCTGGTGGGTGGTTTCGCGAAACCACCGACGCTTCACCAGGTAGGTCAAATCGATAGTGGGCTGAATGGCTCCCTCAAGGTGCCACGTACGAAATCCTCTGATGCCGATTCACTACCTTCAGTGGACCGCGAGGGTTCACCATTTTCACTTCCTTCTTTTTGCAACAAATCAGTGCCTCATCCCGAGGTGCCGCCCAAAAGGATGGATGGCCTGACGCCATGCATCAGGTCGATGCTGACCACTACCTTTCCCAACCGACATCCTCTTTGCCTTCCCCCCTAGGCAAGCAGAAGCTTTCTTGTGGTTGCTTTCAACCTCCTGTTGGTGGTCGCTGCGAAGATGTACCCCATTTTCCACTATAAGCGACTAGAAGAATCCCCTCCTCTACCAGACCAATGTTTGACCCTCTGCTAGTTGATCCACTAGCAGTGGTTGTCCTTGAAGATAATATGGTTCTGGATGGGGAGGTGTTAAACCTTGAACTTGATGTTCTCGCGCCCTCTGAGGAAGCAGCTAATCCAATGGGGGCTGCAGACCCCAACTTATCAATGGTCGAAGTAGTCTCTCAGCCTCCTCTTTCGATTATTCATCATGATGATAACCCTCTAACCTTTCATCTTTCTGCTGCTCCAATTGACCCGAACGTGTTGCTCATGACTGACTCGGTTTCTGGAGTGTTACCACTTCAAGATTCTTCGCCCTCTTTGATTGAGAAAAAGAGGGTTAGTGGTTTGGTTACTGATTGCGGCATGGACTATGACGTCCCCATTGTGGTGGTGTATAAATGCATTCTTGATAAAAAGAAGGCTGAGAAAGTGGATAATATGGATGACTTCTCTTCGGAGTTGGTGCTGGTGGCTCCTTCCCCAGGTGTGGCCAAAGGGAAAGCGAAAGATAAAGACCCGGCTAAAGGGACTAGATCTTCTAAAAGGCTACAAGCAAGGGAGGAACTGCGCGCTGCTTCCAC